TCAGAGAGGTGCAATCGAGGAGACAGAGACTTGCAAAGATCAATTCTTATCCTCTTTCTTCATTATTAAGAAACCATCGGGAGGATGGAGGTTTATCCTCAATCTTAAACGCCTCAATCGGTTTATCATTGCACCACACTTCAAACTAGAGGACTGGAAGACCGTTATTCGCCTTATCTCTCCAAACGATTTCCTAGCCTCAATCGATTTGGAAGAGATGTATTTCCTCATTCCCTCCATCAGGATAATAGGAAATTTTTACGATTCAGTTTTCAGGACCAACTTTATCAATTCAGGGCTCTACCCTTTGGGCTAGCATCAGCTCCTTATATTTTCACCAGAATTTTGAAACCGATTATATCCTCTCTCAGGGAAAAAGGTTTCTTTTCGGTGATTTATCTTGATGATTTTCTCCTTATCGCGCCCACACACAATCAGTGTGTGAAGAATGTCGCCGCTACAACGAGCCTTTTATCATCATTAAGCTTTATTATTAATACGCGTAAAAGTGTCCTTAATCCTACAAAGTTTTGTCGTTTTTTAGGATTCAACTTTGACACTAAGCGCTTTGCAATCGCTATTCCATCAGAGAAAAGGAAAGATCTTCTACAAACTACTCTTGCCATGCTTAATAGAACTCATTGCAAGATTCGCCTTTTTGCAAGTTACATCGGCTCTCTAATTTCTATCTGTCCGGCTGTCCAATATGGTATGCTTCATACCAAGATACTAGAAAGAATTAAGTTTTTAGCATTAACTGCCGCAAATGATAATTATGAAGCTCAGATGTCGCTTCCGATTTCTATTAGAGAAGACCTTTTATGGTGGAAGGCTGTATTCACGGACGGGACACAATGTAATCGTATTAGATCGGGTCTTTTTGACCTTGAAATTTTCTCTGATGCTTCCCTAACAGGATGGGGAGCTGCATGCAGAGGTGCCCGGACTCATGGCTTTTGGTCACCAGAGGATAAACAGCAGCACATTAACTATTTGGAGCTCTTGGCTGTTTTCCATGCCCTGAAATGTTTCGCATCTCACCTTCAAGATTCAAATATCCTCTTAAGAGTAGATAATTCCACAGCTCTCTCGTATATTAACCGCATGGGTTCGATTAAATTCCCTAATTTATCCAATCTTTCTCGTGAAATTTGGCAGTGGTGCGCGGATCGTAACACGTTTATTTACGCTTCTTACGTCCCTTCGGCCCAGAACTACGAGGCAGATGCTGAATCTCGCGTCGTATCGGAGGAAACAGAATGGTCTCTTGCGCAAAATTATTTTGAAAAAATTAACTCATGTTTTGGTCCCTTTGAGTTTGGTCTGTTTGTCACATCAATTAACACTAAATGTCATCGATTTGTCTCCTGGCTTCCGGACCCGCTAGCATACGCGGTTGATGCTTTCTCGCTCGATTGGAGTAATTTCTACTTTTACGCGTTTCCTCCATTCATTTTAATTTTGAAGATCCTACGAAAAATCATCAATGACAGGGCAGAAGGAGTGGTTGTTGTACCCTGGTGGCCGGCCCAACCGTGGTTTCCTCTTTTTTCAACTTATAATTGAGCAGCCTATCTGTTTTAAACCAGACAGTAACATGCTGTCATCCCCTTTCAGGCGGATACACCCAGCTTGGAACAGAATTTCCCTGGCAGCCGCGAAACTATCAGGCAGGCTTTTTTACTGAGGGGAACACCATTCGCAGCCCTGACAACATTGCTTGCTTCTATTTCAGACGCCACAATAACACAATACACTAAGCCGCTCAAACTATGGTGGTACTTTTGTAAACAAAATAGCGCTAACTGCTTTTCTCCGTCGCCCTCTCTAGTATTAGAATTTTTATCTTCCTCGCTCTCTAAAAGCTCTTATGCTACTCTAAACTCCTACCGCTCGGCTATATTTCTTATCTCCTCTAACGAAATCGGTTCTCATCCGCTAATTAGGAGATTCCTTAAGGGGGTCGCGAATCTAAAGCCTCAACGTTTCCGCTACAATTATATCTGGGACCCATCGCCGGTTATCAAACATCTGGCTACTATGTATCCACATGCGAGTCTCTCGCTGGAGTTATTATCAAGAAAATTAGCCACTCTCCTCGCTCTTACTACTGCCCAAAGAATGCAGATCCTTGCAGCTATCCGGCTTACCAATATTAGTATAGCGAATTCGTTGGTTATAAAAATTCCCGCTAGACTTAAGACTTCCGGGGTGGGTAAACCCTAACCCTTGCTCTCATTCACCCCCTTTTTGGAGAAACCCGAACTATGCGTTGTTTCCTTAATTAAATTTTACATCAGGGTTACCCGCGATTTCCGTCAAGAGAGTTGTGACTCTCTTTTTATATCTGTCCGCGTCCCACACAACCCAGTGACTTCCCAAACCCTGAGTCGGTGGGTCAAAACAGAATTGAACGCTGCAGGAGTTGACACAGGCATTTTCTCGGCACACTCAACTCGTCATGCGTCAACATCCCTTGCAGCAGCTAAGGGCATTAGATGAGATTAGACGTACAGCGGGTTGGTCTAAAACCTCGGACGTTTTTGCAAGGTTTTATAATCGACCTTATTATTAAAGACTCGTCGCTTCATACTGCGGTTCTTAACAGTGCTTAAGTTTATTATTAATTACTTATTTACCAAACCTATATACAGGAACATCCAAACTTGTCAGGGGTTCCTTCTTTTTATTTCAATTTAAACTATCACATCTAGATAAACTGTGATGTTCTACATTTTTCATCCTTATAAGCTTAATCATGGAATATGTTTATTTATTTTTGCATTCAGCATTGATAAGCTGATTTATAAAATACTCTTAAATTCTTATATTCTACGTTCAAATGTATTTTATTTTCTGTATCTCTTGTAGTTACAAGAATCTAACGCATTAAAATGTTCTGTATCTCAGACTAACTAAAGTTCGACATTAATTGCAAATCTGAATGTTAAACATCTACATGTCTCCATCCGGACGAGACGTTGCATAATTGGATAATCAAACGAACTTACAGTGAAGTTCGATTGCAATTATGCTGTCTCGTCCGGATGGAGGATCCCCCCCTCCCACAACCTAAACTCAGATTTGTTTACGTTAAACTTATGAGCACCCGCAGCGTCGCACAGTGGATCGAATCATGCAAAAAGGCGGACATTGACTCAATTTTTTTTTTTATATATATAATTTGCCAATTATGGATAAGGTTAGAAAAATAGTCAAAAAATCAGAAAATGATATAAATTTCCTAAAATTTTTTCGATTTTTAGAACAAAACTATCTATATAACTTGGGTTCTAAGAATCGCTATTTTTCCATGAACATCGTTGCATTACTTTAATGGATTACATTTTGTACACCTTCAAGATTTTTGGCGACAAATTTTTTTGTGTTGAATAAGATATACTGTAGTATAGAAAAAAATGTTGTGTTTCACAATATAACCCCAGTATGATAATTGTTATTCTCAATTTATGTGTGTGCAATTTTTATCTCCATATCCATATAAGTTCTCGTTAACAAAAAATGTTTAAGTGTGTTAGGATTGAATATAGTCAAATAACTTTTTTAAAAAGTGTTACTATACAAACCAAAAAAGTTTGACTGCCCCAAGCCGCCCATTTCTCAAATAAATTAATTTTTGTAAATAAACAGAAGTAATGAAGAAAAACACGACTGACTAAGATGATATACTGAAGCGTATAACGATCAAAGTCATAAGATTCTCCTCACGGTCACACAGTAGTGTATTATTTTACTATCTTTATTGTAGTACACGAAAAAAATTAATAGTTAATATAACGAAAAGTAACAAATTAGATATTAAATATAAAAAAGTAAAATAAAAAAATATCAAATATTAACTTATAATAAAATAAAATAAAATATCAAAAATAATAAAATTCTTTCTTGGAATATTATAATATGTTATAGTTTAAGACTTTTCGTCGCAACATAACCCGTAGCACATGTGCCAACAACTGCCACTTATGCTTCTATCGAATTACAAGCTCTCTTGGATCTTACCACTATCAAATTGCTGAAAGTATGTGAAGAAAAATTGCAGTCTTATACAAACTTAAAGTTAATTTGTAAGTGGGGCTTTGATGGATCTTCAAATCAAAGCTCATATAAGCAAGCATTTAAAGACGAAAAAGCATTGGATAATTTTGTCTTTATGACCAGTCTTGTCCCCATCAAGTTGATGAGTGACTGTGATGTTCTATGGACCAATCCAACTCCGTCTTCTACTCGATATTGTCGACCTATTCAATTTCAATTCATAAATGAAAATACAGAAATTATTAAAAAAAAATTCGAAAGAGTGGACACTGAAATAAAGAATCTGGTTGCATTAAAATGGGAAAATGTGACTATTACTTATGAAATGTTATTTACTATGATAGATGGTAAGGTTTGCACCGCTTTATCGGACTTAGCATTGTCCAGCGCAAGTTGCTATTTATGTGGTGCCAAACCGACCGAAATGAACAATATTGATAAAGTTGTGACACGAAACATTGATCAGAGTACATGCAATTTTGGGCTGTCAAGTCTCCACGC